TGGGTGCTGCTGTATTCAAAAAAGCCTCTGGCAGAAGGTAGTGAGGAGCTGATAATCCAAAGAGCATCAGCAAACCAATCTCCTTCAGCAAAACCAGATCCTGTCCCACCAGCCCATTCTTCCCTTCAAGGCCGTCCACAGGGCAATGAATTTGAAGGGACTCTCTTTTTTTCCCCAACCCCATAACTCAAAGTGGAGGAGTCCAAGGGTTAATGCTGCATGACAAAGGTCAGCCCGGTTTGGGGAGGGAGGAGAAAGGGAAGCATTGTGGCCGCAGACAGCAGCTCCCTGCACAAGGCCACTTGAGAAATGTAAAGTGATGGTGCTGCTCAGGGAAAAGGCCTGAGAGCCCAGCCTAAATCCCAGGGCTTTATGGCTCACAAAAGCCCAGCCCCTGAGTCATTAATCGTGTGCTCCATGGCCGGGAGCCTCAAAGAGCAGCAGATGACACATGCCCAGCTGCTGCCACCCCTCCTCAAGGTAGCGGGGCAGGGGCAGGTGCACTCCCTGCGCCCTCTGCTCAGGACTAATCTGTTCTCCCGCCTTGTCCTCCGCCTTTCATCTCCCCCAGCAGCCCCCGCTGACAACTGTAAATGAGATTAGACTCCGAGGCGTGGGGCAGATGCAGAACCCCCTCTGTGCATTGCCAAGAGACCCTTGTAGCTTTTAAAGTGTCTGTCCCCTTCACAAAGCACAGCTTGGCGGAGGGGGAGAAGGGGGCACATTTCTTGTCACACTCTCAGAAGCATCTGATATAGCAGACAAGGCAGACCCTGGTTTGGGGACTGGATGCATCCCTGATTCTCCAGTTCACCTCAGGAGATGAAGAAACAACTCTATTACTATCTCCTAATTCCCACGACCTCTTTGCAGTACCACCCCGCTTAAATATGGACACACCGACATCACTCAAAAAAGGCAGTGACAGTGCAAAGTTCAGGCAAGGACTTGCACACAGCCCAGTGCTCACCCCCTGCCTGCACTGCTGCTCTCACTGCCATCACCTCCTGTTCCTCCTATGGCACTTGGAGCTCCCCCTGCTCCCAGTGACCCACACAACCCAGCAGTGAGACACAAGGTATTTGCCAGACAAAGAGGTAAAACCTGGAGTCCCAAAGCACTGCCTACAGCTCAGCAGGACCTGCCTGTAGAGCCACAGCTGCCAGGGGTTTGCCAGCAGCAACAGGCAGGGCAGCTTTTCCAAGGGAAGGGTGATGTTTAGCTCAACAGTGCCCCGGTAAACGAAATGGAATTTCTTTTACAGTGTGGGAAATAGTTTGTCCTGCCCGTGCTAAAGGCTGTCCAGAGAAAAGGAACACGGTTAACATAAAAGCTCATTGAGTTCAAAATAATTCCCTTTCTCAGCTACAAGCAGCCTATGATAATAGCCGGCCTGATTTTATGGATTGCTTTGCAATTTCAGTCGTGCAGGAACCAGCCCTGGACTTAGGGCGGCTGCAAAGTCAGCATATTTGAAAGCACATTTGAATGTTTTATGAGAGCATGGCAGAGCAGGTTCAGCTGCACCCACTGCTGGTAGTGTCAGCAACTGAACTCTTCCTGGCAAGTGCATATCTCTCCAGCCTTGTTTCTGAGCTCAAGTTTTCCATTAGCTGCCCACACAGACTGGGTAACTTGGCATCTCTCTGCATTCCCCATAAATTCTGTTCATCTGTTGCCATCACACCCACGTACAAGTCTCGGGAAGGAATCTAGGATTTCTAAAGCAGCTGCAACAAAACACAGCTTGGATTGACAAGCAATAGGATCAAGGTGGTGAGCCAGTGAGGAGGGTCTTTTCGGAGAGTTTTCTGTGTGTCTATTTAAAACAAGTTTGTTGTCATGACTACAAACCAAGGTATGGGTGAGAAGTGAGAACTCCAAGATGAGGGCTGATAATGTTAATTCACCCTTGAAATCTCAGCAGCCATGGGGATGGGGAAACAGAGAGGATGATACAAGCTCTTGGCATTTAACAGGGCTGAGAGCCACTTTCAGCAGGCAGGTCTGTCCTGAGAACAAAGATCACCCTCCCGGACAGCCCTTTCCCCAGCACAGCCAAGGAATGGGGAATTCCAATTTGGAATGGCTGCAGCCATGGCTAAAGCAGGACAGGGGCACTGGGGACACAGAGGAAAGAAGGGCACTGAGGCCCTGCAAAGGACACAGCAGAGCTGGAACTGCCCCTCAGGAGACTCATCTGCAGACTTTCTCTCTAGCCATGAACTTGGCTTCAGCAAGGACAGGGAGATGTTCCCATGTCCGTGCAAGGCAATTAACAGGGAATCTTAATAGCACAGAGAAGTGTGAAACCACTCCTGGGACCGTCACATTTGTATCTCTACCAGAAGATTAACTAAAAACTGAGGGTTTGGCCAGCGAAGAACAAATGAAGAACCCCCCAGGTGATTGCAGAGGGCTGGAGCAGCAGTGCCTGGCTCTGCTCAGGGCTCAGATTCCAAAGCAGGCAGCGAGGAGCGCGCAGGGCTGGGCAGGCTCTGCAGAAGGCAGCAGATGTGTGTGTGGGGGTGGAGGGTGTTTATGAGCACAATAAATAAATGTATGAATCCCTATAAAAGTCCCCTTATAAAAGTGAGTTAGAGCTGCCCGAGGGCCACGGCCTCGTCATCAAACCCACATCCTGCGAGCACAGGATGAAGCAGCAGCTGAGCTGGAACTGTCTGGTTGCAGCACCACAAAGCTGCCAGGCTGCTGCTCCCAAACTCTCGGCTGAAGTGCTGACCCCACTAAATGCAGGAGGAATTTTCGGGGACTTGCTTCAGTGTAGTCAGGATTTCTCCCTGGGAGGGGCTTCTTTGAACCTCAAAGCATAGGAAGCAGTTCTGGGTCTGAGTTTTTCGTCAAATTTAATCCTTTTTTACTTCTTAAAGAGAATCTATCTGCAAGTGGCTGAAGATCTTGGCTTGAGCCACTGACAGTTCCCAGTGTGACAGATTAGAACTGGATCCAAACAAATAAAAAATTCCTCTAGAAAGCATGGTCAGTGTCCTCTCTCCCCCAAAATAACCAAGCAAAAAGTACTGCTTTATGGCTGAGCAGCAATTTCCATCAAAAATTACTGAATTTTTAATTAAGATGTTGGGAGAGGAGGTGACATTAAAAAACCAAACCCTTTAATTTTGTATGTATAGAAACCTGCTGCTTTTTTTTGGTCATTAAACTTAAATAAAAGTTTTAAGTATCTCCCCACAGGAAAAAAAAAAAAAAAGCAAGCAATGCTTGCTAGTGTTTCACATGGATGCCAATCAGAGCCAAACAAAGTGCTCCCACCAGCACATTGCTGCTGGGAATGGCAACCTTGTTCCCTGACGAACGGCATCCTGCACTGCACTGCAGGACTAATTGCACTGCTCTGCTGATGGAATGCTCCAGGAACACGTCAGCTTTGCCCAGGGGCAACAAGGACAACGTTGATTCATTCAGGACTTACGACTGCTTGTCACAGGTTGCGTTCTCTTTGATAATAAAGCCTTACAGACAAGGTTTAAAATTCAGCTGCAGCCCTAATTGAAACATAGCTAATTACTGGAGGTCTGCCTTTACAGCCAGTTCCATTGTCACTGGGCTAATGTTCTGTAAATCCAACAGTCAAACTCTCCCTTCCCTTAAAAGGAGAAAAAAAGAAGGAAAACCCCCCATCTACTATTCAAGCAAGTCCAATGGGAAATTAGAGATTCCTCTCTTTGAGCCTGAGGTATCTACCAGCCAACAGCCCCATCCCACAAGGGCTCAGTGACTTCAAAGGATGCCTGGAGAATCAGCCTCCAAATTAAGGCCAGCGTTGGAGACAGGAGAATTCAACGTGGCTGTAACAAACCTCCAGCCCAGACCACGAGCAACTCACTGTTGCATCCACCCTCTCAGTGGCAGCAAAGCCCAAGAGCCCCAGGAAATTCCAGCACACCACACAGTTCAGGTGTGACCATCAGGGTTCCCCCAGCTCCCACCCACCACTGACTGTGCCACAGCCGCGGTGCTGCAGTGCAGACACGTGGAGCAGCACTGGGGCACACGGTCAGGTGTAAAGCAGCACTCACCGGGTGATAACGGGACCCCCAGGGCACCAAGGACATCCTTGCACACACTGCACCACAGCTTTGGCTCTGCAGTCCGGCCAGCCACAGGGGCAGGATTAGCGCCTCATAAAGCAGGGATGAAATCCCATCCCAACTTTATTGGCAGTCGGAGCCAGCTCCCTTAAAGAAGGTGACATTTACACGCACACACAACTGCACACAAGTTTATGACATCAAGAAGGGGCTGCAGTTTAGAAGCCAGTCAACCCTAGAAAAATCCTCCAGTTTATAGTGCTTCACATTTCAACCTGGCACACGGAGGGAATGCCACAAAGCAAAGGTGTCCGTTAAAGCGGCTGACAGCATCGTTTACAAACTCCAGCCCACCACCCAAAATCTCTGCAGCTCTGACTCAGAGCCCTACAGAGCTGATTTCAGCCAGCTACAGGTCTGACCCAAGGCATTTAACACAACACAGCCACAGTCTTGGGACAGGAACAGATACTTTGCTAATTCTTTGCTAATAGTTTCAAGCAGCAGGTGCTCCCCGCAGGATGAAACCCCACCCAAGTCAGTTCAGCAGCTGGGGAGCCATTTCAATGAGCACAGCGCTGGTTTTACAGGTCCTGGTGTGCCTGCCTGCAAGACTGGAACATCCTCTAAAGGTACAGGCAAGGACAGCACGACTGGCAGCACACAGCACCTGCTGCAGCACCCTGGCCCAGCCCCTGTGCCATCACGGATGGGCTCACTCCTGTCCCCAGCTGCTCTGCAGAGGGGCTGAGAGAAAGGCCCAGAGCAGTGCTGATGATTATGGTTTGCACATCAGCATCCTGGGGGAGCGGGGAGCAGGTTCCTCCCAGGCTGTGCTTGAAATGCAGGGGGAAGCCAGCACAGGGGACATGCACTGGAGTGAAGGCTCCCTGCTCACGAGACACAGAAATATAGCAGATGTTCACATACCTGATCAAACAGGGCTTTCCAGTGCTGAGAGGCAATGCATGAGGGAGGAAAAAGAAGAAAAAGAAGGTATAAGAGCAACGACATTAACATGCAGTAAACTGGAGAAGTACATTCTACCAGAGGAATAGCCAGATGATTTAATGCCATTTCCAGCATCCTTCTTCATCCCAGAATCACCTACCCTTCCGGGGGAGGAGGCAGGGGGAATCTACCAAACACAGGGAGGACAGTTTTCATTTACAAATCCAAATTAGGATGAACTCAGAACATTCATGTGTTAATTCTGTTTTCTCCCTCTTTGTCTGCTTGCAGGCAAGCAAGGAATAAAAGGCTTTTTTACTCCCAGGGATCAAGAAAGCTTGGAGCGTATTGAGGGAGGGGGGAATTAGCAATGGTTTTTCAGATCCCTTTCTGAGATCCTGTGGCCCAGCACTGACCCCTCGATTGCCTTGCTGGGGACTCAGAGCCCTGTCTGCTGCCTGCCCCTGACTCTGGCAGGGTCATTTAGAGCCCACCAGTTTTCTGAACCTCACATGTCCACATCTGGAAAACAGGGAATTCCTCCTGTGCAAGGTGGGAGGGTGGAAGGCTGGAGAGAGCCCATAATAAGGATTTATCCCACACCTTAAAAATGCTGTATAGGAGGAAGCTCCAACACTCACAGCCACGTGAACACTCCACAAGTCCTTGTCACTTGGGAACAGACAAAACCAGCTGGAGACTGGCTCTGATTTATGTTTTGCAGAAAGACTGATGTCAAGTCACCTCCCTAACCCGGACTTGCTGCCTCAGTGTCCCATGGAACAGAGGACATTCCTAATGAATTGTGTAAGGCTCTCTCATCTCTCCTGGATTTAGGGACCAGTTCAGAAGACAGCAACTTCCATGGGGCAACACTGGGGTAACCACTGGCTTGGGATCTGCAGAAAACACCTTCCCATTTCCAGCTCTGCTGTCTGAGGTGCTGTTCAACACAACATTTTGTTTCTGCCTCGTTCACTGCGCCACAAAAGCAAATTGAGTAAAATCACAAATGTCAGACACACAGAAGCAAATCTCACTGTGCTGTAGGCAAAGCAGAACTCTGGTGAGAGTCTTATCTAGTCCTGGAAGAACATTTCCTTTCACATGTTAGGCAAATCTAAAGCAGAATTGACTGGAGAGACACTGGGATATCAGGCCACCGAATTCCTTTCCATTAGTTAAGTTGTTGGCTCCCCTCCTCCCCGTGTCTCCCTCCATTTACAAACTCCCATTTATCATCATAAATCAGCCCAGCACATTAAACAGAGCATTTTGGGACTGCCTGGATCCTGGCTTTGTGGAAGGCTGCTCTGAGAGCTGCAATGACATCACAGCTAAGCTGTTACACCCTGCCAATGCTGTGGCAGCCAAACCTCCACTATGTAATGTTTTTGTGGTTAATAACACATAAAAACTGACCCTGTGTCAGTTCTTGCTGGCCAAGCCAGAGAGCTCCCATCAAGCTTTCATATGTAATAACAACAGAAAATTGGCCCCCAGTGAGGTCCCAAGGGGGCAGAGCAGTTGGAATTCTCAGAGATGATGCTCTGTAGCCTGCCTGTTTCAGCAGGGAAGCTTGGCCGAGGAGAAGGAGGGCATTTACACCACTTCCTGCTCTTCTGACTTGCAGATGATACACGATACCTCAGGCTTCTGTCACATCATCCACTGCCAGGTCTCAGCAGCTTCCTATAACCACTGCAACTGCAGCTCTGGGGCTGCTTTGTTGATGACAGAAAACAATGTACCAGGGTCAGATAACAGTGCAGATCCCACACCAGTAACAGTGATGCTGCGAGCTGGGCCTGACCCGGGCTGTCCTACCTCAAGGTCGAGCAGCAAAGAACCAGCACAACTGGGATGAGAAACCTCCTGTCCCAGGAGCCCAATCCTGCCAGGCACTCAGCACCTCAGCATCTCCTGGCTCCCTGGCAGGATGGAATCGCTGATGGCTGCGCTCATGCGGAGGCTGGAGGGACTCAAAGGGGCCCATGTGTGCCACAACAGGAAATCTTTCTTGGAGGAGCATCCAGACAAGCACAGAATTTTTCAGAGAAGAAAAGGTCACAGGCTGATGCAAGCAAGAGCTGGGACGTGGAAACCTGGAGTGGGAAAGCTCCTGGAAAGTCACCCTTTCCAAGTCAAAGCTACACATACCCCTGGATCAGGCATCTCCTCCTAGGACAGTCTGGCAGAGGTCAAACTGCATCACACGTTCCCTCCTGACTGCACAGTGCTCAGGGATGCAGCCCGGGGAATGCAGTTGTACCGAGCAACTGCACTTCCTCTGCTACCCTCTGGGGGGAAAATCCAACAGCAACCGAACTGTAGGTGACTCAGAAGGAAGGGCTCGGGCATGAGGAGCAGGCTCCGTCCCTAAACATCCCCGGGCGGGCTCCTCCAGCAGCGTCAGAAAGCAGAGAGCAAAGGGGATGCGCCATTGCTGGAGGCTCAGCTCCCAAGTGTCCCTCTCGCAGCGGTGCAAGACCAGAGACCGCTTCAGAAAGACGTTTAGCATCTCTGTTCATGTCTCATCGGCAGGATTACCGCTGCAGACTGAGCAGACACTTTGCAATCCTCATCCCAGCCGAGTTGGCTGGGAAGGAGAGCTGTGAACAGTCCTGGGATGCACCAGGAATGCAGGATCTCTCCCGTTCGCTCCCTCCCAGACAGGTGCACAGCGAGCTCCTGTCTCCGGGACCGGCAGGCGCAGAACAATCGCCTCGGCTCTGCAGTCTCTGCCTGGCAGGAGCAGACTCGGTGTCCTTCTGCGCCGGGCGAGCAGAGGCAGAGCCCCGGTGCCAAGTTATCCCACTCTCAGGTGCAGTCAGAGCTCGGAGGGTGGAGGGAAGCCATCAGCCCCGCCGAGCCGGGGAAAAAACTTCCTCGGCTGTTTGCTGCTCGGGGGCTGGAAGAAGGAGCAGCTCCCGAGAGCGGGAGCGCTTCGCATCTGTCACCGTCCGGGTGGCCGGGACTCTGGAGAAGCTCTCCGTGCCCTGGAATCCCTGGAGCCAAGGCGTCAGCCTCTCTCCGGGCTGCAGGGTCGCCTCGGCGCTCATCCCTCTGCCCGTGCCCGGCAGCCGCAGCATCTCCGGGCGGACCGGCTGCCTGCCCGGGCCCCCGGGGCAGGGAGGGGCGGCAGCGGCGGCCCCGGGGCCGGAGCCGGCCCGGAGGCTGCCGGAGCCCGCGGACAGCGGCGGAGGGAGGGCGGCGGGGACAGCGGCTTTCCCAAGCCCCGCAGGGTCACCGGCCCCGCTCTTGCCCCCATCCCGGGATGCAGCTATGAATAGCCTGAGCCGATTAACCCGGCCCGGGAACAGGGGGGAAGACACCGAGCGAAGCAAACTTACATCCTCCGCGGCCATAGGTAGGACATCCTCGGAGTCCAGCACCTCGATTTCTTCCGCCTCCGCGCTGGCAGCCACAGCAGGGGAAGAGCTGGCGTGAGGCTCCGGCAGCCTGTCTCCCATGCTTGGAAACGGTCCCCCCCCCCCCCCCCCCCCCCCCCCCCCCCTTCTCCCCAGATCCTTAAAGAAATTAAACCTAGCTGCTGCTTGGCAAACTTTCAAGCGCAGCCGAGCCTGCCTTCATGACTCCTGCAGCCGGCAGGGGAGGAAATCCTCCATCCAGGGAACATCCAATTAGCGCGGGCAGCGCCGGCGGGCGGCATCATCCCGGCGGCCGCGCTCCGGCCGGGGCACTGACCCCTCCCCGCCTCCCGCCGCCCGCCCCTGCGGCCGGGCGGTGCCCCCGGCCCGGGCACGGCGGGCGCCTCCCCCGAGCCATCGCCCGGGGACGGGGGGCCGCCCTTCCCGGCGCGGGGGAGCCCCCGGGGGCTCCGGGAGGCAGAGCCCGCAGCTGCGGCACGTCCGAGGATGCGGCTGGGCGGCCCCGGGGGGAGCGGCCCCGGCCGGGGGGGAGCGGCCCCGGAGTCCCTGCACCGCCTCCCCCGGGCCGACCCACGGGGATCGGCCGTGCCCAGCACCGGGCAGCCCCCGGGCCGGTGAGCAGGTAACTTCTCCGTCCCGGAGAGTCCCACCGTGAGGGGCTGGTGCGGGGTTTTACACCTTTCACCGTAATGACTCGTTCCTGTGTGCCAGGATGGGTAACTTAACCACCTGGAGCCCGGATTAGGAACTTGAGGAATGCCCTGACTGCAGGCAGAAATCCAGCAGTTTTAGCTTCTTCCAGTGAAGCGCAGAAATAGCAGGTTGGCAAGGGGGAAGGGCGAGCAGAGCCAGGCTGAGCCACATGGTGCCAGTGCCTCTGCTTGCTGCTGCACCGACAGCCACAGCCAGACAGAGCCAGAACAGACAGAGGGTCCAGCACCACACACGCCACGTTTTCTGGGTGCAAAGGTCCAGCATCAGATCAGACACCTCAGCCATAAGGACAGCACCAAGCTAGAAATCCATCTTTTCTCTACGAATTTGTTTAAAAAACAGACAACAACAGCATCAACAATTAAACCCAAATGCAGCTAGAATTTCTCCAACCTCTGAGAAAGGAATAGGATCTTCCATCCTGCAGAAGCGAAGCAAAGAAGTAAAACCACGACCTTTGGACCCGAAGAGCAGAACTTTTCTACCTCAGGATTCGGGTGGGAAAATGAGATCAAAATAAAAGCTCTTCGAGGGTCTCCAGTGCAAGTGATGAGGTTCTGCCCCCTCAAGGACCGCCACCTTGAGCACAGCATCCACTTCTGGCTGCTCTGGAGCCTGTCCAGCCTGCTCTCCCAAAGCACAAGAACTGGAGACCAAATCCGGCACTTCTGAGAAACACTAACCCACTTCACTCATACAACACCACCCCTGCCAAAATATTCCAGGCACTAAGCAGCTATTATAAAAACAATCTCTTTTTTTTTTTTTTTTGACTGAAAAACCAAACCTCATCAAAACTTCAAAACAGATGGATAAGCAAACATATGCTATCCCAACAGAGAGAAACAGCAGTCATTCAAAGATGTCTGTAGGGAGGAGGGGAGCGAGTTTTTAAAGCAAAGAGAGAATAAACGAGCTGAATTTCAGGGGTAACAGGTTCCACACAGTTGGGGACTGTATTGTCTCTGATTCCAGGTGCTGGTGGGAAAATGCCAACCATGAGTGCAATCAACAACAGGGAGAACCCCCAAAACCTTGCCCTAACACCAAACTCCCACTAACCTGGAAAACTGCTGCAAAATTACAAGTTCATTTTTCTCCTCTAAGGAATGTTTTTCACCAGTGGTAATGATAGTTTGGGTTGGTTTTTTTTTTTCAGGGAAATATCTCTGCTCATTGCACATATGAGCTAGTGCTGTGCTATAATTGTCACAGAAAGGAAATTAACAGTATTCTAATGAGGAGTTTTGTTACAGACAAATTACCATCTTGCAAGTCTGTGAGAGCCTCTTAATTTAGAATGTCATTTCTCCCCACTGCATACCCTGGTGACTCTACCTTGGAAAAGAGTAATTGCTGGAGAAACTGGGGAGCTGGGGGCCACCCCAGAGCAGATGCAGACAGAACATGGAAGGGCTTCGGGAGAAACTGAGACAGAAAGAAGCTGACATAATAAACCCCAATCCATTTGCACATTCAGTCATGTAGGCAACCTTTTATATTCCAAATACTGCAAGGAAAATGTAGATATACATCCTCCCTGCATTGGAAGTGGGTAGAAAGGTCAGCTCATGAATATGCAATAAAAAGCCCTCAAAGTAGGGACCCAGCCAACATCTGTTAGCTAAGCCTCCTGGAACAAACCTAAACATTTTGTTCGCAGGTCCTTTTTCCACCCAAAGTAGCCCCAAAGGGCTTTTACAAAACTGCCCAGCTCTCACAATTGGAGCTGCATGGAGCAACCTTTCCAGCTTGATTTCCATACCAGAGTTCAGCCCAGCCAGGCCTGGGAGAAAGGAAAATGAGATATTTGGGATCAGAAACCCAGAATGCTGCACCCAAACACAACCCTAGCAAAAAATTAGATAGCACGTACCCAGCTGGCACTGGATCAGACCTGTCAGATTCACCCCTTCAGGCTCATGGAAACAGCTAAAAATCTTTAAGGATCACAGATGGTTTGAGATTGGGGTTCAAAAGGTAACAGTGGCAAAGGGCTCTTTGAGCATCAGTGCTGGGACAACACAAGTTCAGAATCAATATGAATTGGACTCTCTGGCCTTTCCACCTGCAGCTCTCTTCTGCCCCTGTAGCTGTTATTGGTTGCAGCTGGTTCTGTCTTTTTGGTTATAGCTGGGGAAGTAATTAAATCTGCTATTAGTCTTTCTTTTTGGGTGGTTATCTTTAAAGGGAGCCCTCCCATAAGATCATCTTTAGGATATTTAAAATGTACCTCTGCCCCTTTTTAATGTTACCTGATGGGATAACAGCACAGGTTCATTCTGAATCAAAAGAACTATTTGAAACGGCGACCAGTTAGTAACTCAAGGTTAATTTCCAACAAAAAACCAAGTCTTGCTTACTATTAATCTTGTACTGACAAGCTTTCAGACAAGAGGTCAAAAAAGGATGTGTCTCCAAAGAAAAATAATCAAGATCTTTGTCCTCTGAGTGACTTTACGTCATGACCAAGCAATTCACGCATCAGACTGAGCAGAGATGGAGTCTGGTTGTGGAAAATACAATGAAAGAAGTTGTTAGGAAACTGTCAGGACCAGAGGAAAGAAAATAAATCACTGCTAAGAATGAAGGGATTGGGCTGCTGCTCCTTCTCCCCAGCACTTAACAACAGCAGCTCAACTTTCTGGACTTTTTTCCTTGATGCACTCCATGAGTAGAACACTTCCCCTCACGGTGATCAGAACCCTCACAGCGACACGGGGACATCGTGGCTCTTACCTGGGGCTGCCTCGGAGAACATCGCCCGCCCGAGCGGGGCCGCAGCAGGGCAGGACACCGAGCCCTGTGCCTGTCCCCGGGGCAATGGAGCAGGACACCGAGCCCCGTGCCTGTCCCTGGGGCAATGGAGCAGGACACCGAGCCCCGTGCCTGTCCCCGGGGGAACGGAGCAGGACACCGAGCCCTGTGCCTGTCCCCGGGGCAATGGAGCAGGACACCGAGCCCTGTGCCTGTCCCTGGGGCAATGGAGCAGGGCTGTCCGACCGCAGCCAGCGGGGCCGCGCCCCGTCCCTCACCTGCCCTCAGGGCGGGGCGGCCCCTCAGGGCGGGGGCGTCTCCCGCGCCTCCCTCAGGGCCGTGTGGGGTGGCCCGGGGAGCGCCCGCGGGTTCCCCCCGCCGGGCTCCGAGCGCAGAACCCGCTCCCCGCCGGGGTGCGAGCGCCGGTGCCGGGCTGATGGGGTGTTCCTCGGGGCAGATCCCGATCCCGCTCCCATCCCAATCCCGCCGGGGTCCGAGAGCGTTTCCCGCTCCCGCCGGCCCCGTCCGCTCGGCGGCAGCGCCCCCTGGCGGCCGCTCCCGGCTCCTCCGGGGGTCCCTGGGATCCCTCGGGAAGGTCCCTCGGGAAGGTCCCTCCAGAGAGTCCCGAGAATCCTCCCAGCCCCCCGGGAACGCGGCACTGCCGGAGCCGGTTGAATTAACACCAAAATACACACAGTTCCTTGAACCCCACTGAACTATTTGCTTCCTCCTATCCCACGCTTTGTCCTTGCAAATAACGGTCTAAAAGCACTAAAGCACACGGTCTAAAAGTCTAAAAACACTATTTGTGTTTTAGCTTTAAAGTATCATAAAAGTCAGATATAAATCTGGTCTGATATAAATCATAAATAAACCTCTAGTGGAGGCAGCTCAGTCAAGAGAGGGATCAGAGAAACCACAGAGCCCAGACACGTCACCTCCAGCCACTGAAGGCACCGAGAGCATCCTCTCACCTAAAGGACAAAGTTTTGTTAAACTCCTCTCTGGAAGGGCAGAGGGAGGCAAAGAAAAAGAAGATAAACACAAACACAGTACACAGTTATTTTATTGAAATACTTGAAAAGGCCAGCAATGGAAAAATAGGTTTGCCATGATTAACGTTTGCCATAATTAACGTTTGTTTTACTTGATCGTTAAAAAAGCTGTGTCTCTACGTAACTCTAGCCCGGTACAGAATGCACTGTGATCCATGCAGCTAACACCCTACAGCAGAATAGGCACTGTGTACTAGTGTGTTCTTCATACACAGCTTTCAAGGGCTATGACCGACAGATGGGAGAAATTAAACTGCAGCACTTTCCCAATTAGAAACATTTAGAATATACAAATTTGCTCCTCTGATTCATAGGGGCTATAAAACACAACAGAGTGGAAAACGAAAGACAGATCACACACAGCAGATGAAGTTGATCTGGCGGTTTTTGAAGTTTATGTTCTTGCCTTTAAAAGAAAAACCAGACTCTAAACATGTCGCTGGTCATGTAAAATACAAAATCACAGGCCAGGACAGCAAAGGTGAGTTTTTCTTGAAATACATAATTAGAGGGGAAAATTTGTTCATCAGTTAAAAATATGAATGAAAATCACAA